ACCCCCCCTCCCGCAGCCAGAGTGCCGTGAGGATGCGCAGTGGAGGGGACGGGGAGGGCTCTCTCCATCCCGCAGCCTCCCCTTTACTCCCATCGCCTCCGGACGCTATCCCTTTAGTTGGACTAACAGAGGCAGAGAGCGAGATTTTTTTATTTTGAATTTCATAAGAGCCACCCATTTCATCCAGGCACGGCCAGAGGAGCTTGCCCGGCTTGGGGGGGCTGCGGCACACAGCGTGGCACTCATCGATTTTAGAATTAATATATCAATAACAAAACTAATGCCAATTTTTAAGTTCTGTAAGAATTTTTTTTAAACTCTTTTTTAATTTCAAAGGGGTCAGGGGAGGGCGATGTTTGTTTTTAGCAAAAGCAGGCTTTTCTAGAGTTTTAAGGAAAGGAGCTAGACCATTGGTTCTCTAATGGACAGTAGAGCAGAGATGTAGGATTGCCAGCAGGGGAAAAAAAGAAAAAAGTTGTGTTAAGAGATCACTTTTTAAGGGCTTTGAGAAGAGCAGTGCCTGTATGAGCCAACAGAAGGGATACCGTCTCCTGAACAAGGAATCTCTCTTTCACACGCCCTTTCCTGTTTGCTTCACCAAGTCCCAAACTGGGGTTTGCATCTGTTCTGTGCCCCCTTTCTGAGTGTCGGTCTGTTCCCTCTCTCGCCATCGGTGCCCAACGTAGCCAGGCTTGGTGCTAACATCCCCGGAGAATGATGGGCAGCACCAGCCCTGCCCGTGTTGGGCAGGGATCTTTGGGGAACACTTCCCATTGCAGAGAGAGGAGGGGGGAAAAAAACAGATTTACACCAGGTTGGAAAAACCACCAACACAATCTTTCTAATGTTTAAAAAAGAACCACCGACCCCCCCCCCCACGACACACACACAAAATCTACCTCAGGTTTTCGTACCTCAGCACCTTGCGCTTGTCTTTCCCTTTTAGAGATTTTGTATGCCTTGTAAAACTGATAGTTGGAGCATTTTTTTATTTTTTTAATAAAAAACGAGTTGGAAAATGATCTTGACCAAGTCAGCTGCGACGTGGGAGAAGGAAACCATCCCATGTCTCCCAGAGCTCTTCTATAGTCTCCTTCTGCTAGCTGAGAGCCAGTGGCTGTTCCTTTGGAGAAAGCTTGAGAAATGTTTAAAAAGAAAAATAAACAAACCATAAAAAAGGTAGGAAGAAAAAAAAATGAACAAAAGCGGTGAAACCCAACAGGCACGAGGAGGGAGGGGAGCAGCGTGCTGTCACTGAGTGTGCCGGTGAGGGGCCGGTGCCAGCGCCGGACCCATGGGCTGCACTGCTGCCTTTTCCTCTACTGCAACGTGTTCTGTGAAAACCCAACGACAATGAGAAGAAAAAAAAAAAAGAGAAATATATCCAACTAACAAGAGCCTGAGGTTGCTCTCTGTTGCTTTCTTTCTTTGATCATGGCCAAGCTGAGCTTGGGGCAGGGTGGGCTCCCCTACGGCCACCCCGTGTCCCTGTCTCCAGCACTGGGCAGCCAGAGCTCACTGCTGGGGGGTGAAGGGGTGGATGGGGAGGGTATTTTTTGGGGGAGGGGAAGGGTGGTGGTTGCAGACATTGCTGGGTGTAGAGCTTTACTCAGTCACTTGGAGAGATGTTGCCATTGTGAAGCTGCCTCTCGTCACACTAAACCAGAGGCCAGTCCTCTCCACAGTTAGCTGGCAGAGCCAAAACGATGCTGTGGCACTGCTGCAGTTATTAATGATGTGTTAATTATGCTATGGAAAGCTTGGGTGCTTTTATTGACCCCCAGGGCTGCTTCTCTAGCTAGGCAGCGGAGCTTGGCCAGCAGCAGGGAGGCAGTCACCTCTGGGGTGGGTGGAAGGGCAACACCCAATGGGGAAAGGACCAGAATGGGGGTAGGTGTCCCTTGCATGAAACTGTGGCAGGGGTAGGGCTGCATCTGGGCATTGCGTGGGGTGCTGACAGATGCCACAATGAGGGAACCCCTGCCATCGGCCCTGGACCTGTGCTCCTTCCCTCCCACCCATCAGGTTGTAGGGGCATAAGGACCCAAACCCCATCTGAAGGGCCAGAGCCCCTGAGTTGGCCTTCCAGCCAGAGGGGATAGTGACTGGTACAATTTCCCTGCCATCTCATACAGGGGGGCTTTCAGCAGCCACAGACATGTGGGCACTTCAAAGTGACCAGCAACCACCAACCAGTGCAGTGGCCCCTAACAGGGTTTAACCCACAAAAGTGCTTTTGGGTTGGTGTGGAGGGCAGGGAAGGCACTGGCTGTTCACAGCAGCATCACCCTGCTGCTTCCCTAGCCAAGCCCCCAGTGCTGAAGGGGCGAGCACAAGGAGGACCGGGAGGGCAGCCTTATGCCGCTAGCCCCTCTGTAGGGGTTGGTTTGTTGTTGGGTTCTTTTCCCCAAAATAAAAATTCTGCTTTTGTAACCAGCAGACTGCAGGGTCAGCCTCAAAACTGCATGCCCCAAAGAGTGAGGACTGAAGCTAAAGGGAAAGGAGCCTTAAAGCCTTCAGCTCCTGGGTCCCAGGGTTAATGAATAGCTACAAGCTTCTGAGCGCTTGGGGATCCAGGGACAATCGAGTATCTCACATAAGGACAAAACATGCCAGATAGATCGCCTTTGTAATGCTTCTCTCTTTGGAGGATTGCCTCTGGTTTTGTGATGGATTAAGCTAATCAGTTTGAAAGCAAAGCCTGATGCAGCTGCTGACCAGCAACACCAATGACAAACCAGTGTACCAGGTGTGCCAGGAAAACAGATCTTCAGGCAAGGAGCAGCACCATGAAGGCTGACTGTACCCACAGCGACAGAGGGGATGGCCCCAAAATCACCATCTTTCCCCCAGAGCTGAGCAGAGGAGATACCAGGCAGTCACCAGCCATGAATCACCTTACCTGGTGGTACCGACGCCATGACAGGAACAAGCAGACACGGTTATTTATACAAGCATGCGAACATGCGGCTTCCAAACCAGCCGTGGGGCAATTTTCCTCTGCGATGGTCAAGGAAAGACTTGAAATCCTGCTCCAGCCTTGGAGTAGAACCGAAAGGAGAAAAGACAAAAGCAAGGGGAAACCACCACGTTTCGTTTCAACTGATCTGGCTGGGTCTAAGCATAACGGAGCGAGGACTGACACGAGCTCTTCCTTTGGCAGATGTGTGGAGGCAGTGCCTGCAGCAGCAGGGCCATGAGGCAGTGACACCTTCCAGCAACACCACTGACCCTGGCAGGACACACGGCCGTAGCCCGGCACATCGGTGCGAGCACGTTTCATCCCACGTTCACAGCAGTACACCGCAATACTGCGCGGAGACGCCCCTAGGAGCCCGAAACAGATCCCGGTATGGGACAGCCTGTGTTCCCCAAGCTGCGCACACAGGCTTTGATCGTCTTCAGGGAGTTACCCCAAAGAGGAATCTCCTGCTTTGGTACGACCAGGATTGCACTTGCTCATCCCGCTGCTGAACGATATCCTGATTGCCCCTTCGGGATGTTGTGACAATGTCTTTGAGGCTTTTGTGCTCTGACAGTCCTCCTGACTAGAGGCTTCTTCCTCGTAGATTGTCAGTGAGCTAAAAAACACACTGATGGGTCAACCTTTTTTGCTGTTAAAAAACCCTCTCTGTTTAATTACCAGCTAGATGTTCATTACCGTAAGGCTCTTTATATAAGTTAATATATTTATTTTAACAAAAATAAATAAATACTCTTTTCACATGAGGTATTCCCCAGACCCCACCCCCCATCC